TATTGTGATTTATCCATAATAACTGTGGTTCGGCCTTTGTCTGCTGGGAGGATGATGATGGATTGGTCCTTCCTTAGGCTACTGACGGCTGCCCTATCCTTTGCTTTGAGTTGGTGTTGATACCGTGTTCTTCTGATCTGTGGTATGATGTTTTCTTGGGTCTCTGGGTTAAGTCTTGTAGTTTTGAATGCTGCTTCTAGGGCTGCGCCGAATTCTAGTTGATTAGCATCATGTTATAGTTGAGGATTTTCTGGAGGATATTGTGTTCTGCAGTGGATAATGGCCAGCTGGACATGTTGATTACCCATTCTGGTTGGGGTACCTCTTTGTTTCCGGGGTTTAATTTGAGTAGTTTAGTTTGAAGTTTTCTTTTTCTTTTCTCCACTTGTCTTCGGGATGTGTTCTGGATGGTGGTTGTCAGTATATTAGTATGCTCTGGGGTCATGATCAGTTCTAGTTGTTCCTTGAGAAACTAGACAGCCTAATCAAGAGAACCCTTAATGACCTAACCAAGAAAGGCCCGATCACATAGGAAGAACAGTGGCGTATGAAAAGTAGTGGACTCCTCCTCCCACGATGGACGACCAAAAATACACAAGCCTGACATACCGCTCCGACCAATTGTATCTTTATCAGGGACTCCAACATACAACATAGCGAAAGAACCGACAAAAAAGCTTGGACATCTCACAGAGAAGAGTGAGTATTCTATCAACTCCTCACTACAATGCCTCCAGAAAATCAAAGATATACACATAGATGAAGGTGAAATGATGGTCTCATTTCAAGCTCAGAGAACCCCAAGGACTCCACAGTTAAAAATACATCTCTAGGCAGGTAACACTGATCTAATTGTCCAGAACACGTTATGTCAATACTTTCTTAGCCTGCTTGTGCCCCAGAGACAGAAGGATTCTTGAGAGAATCCATTAAAATGCAGGTTTTTTTCTGATAGGTATCTCTTCCATTTAGCGTTAAAATTATCTTCTAATATCAGAGGGGTCAAGCCAGTGGATAAAAATACTAATGTTAACCAATAAGCAAAGAAAATTAGTCATAACTTGGATTTTATCTTAATTAACTCTAGCACCCAAAAGGAAGACAACACTGAAACATGGAATGGAACATGAAAGATGATTCTTAAAAACTTTGACTGCAGTTTCTAATTTTGAGTTATTATCACAAGGCCCATGCTGCACACTGTACAAAAGCTAGGAGCACCCTTTGACAGAAAATAGCTTTAAGGCAGCAGGCATCCCTTCATCAACAGAAAGTTCTAATTGCCAAATGCTGATTTTTGAGCATTCTGGACTACATAGTCCAGATGAGCATGTCTCCCATTGGAGACCAAAAAAACTATTCCAAGACATTTAAAGACCTTGAATTGTTTGATTTCAGGGCTATTTAAGTTGCTGCTTCTGAATTCTAAGATGTTTAGCCAATACCACTATTTTTGTCTTTGCACAGTCCCTACGGTGCATAGCTAGCAATCTTAGGGCAAGTTTTAGTCCAGTGAAAGTCTGAGATAAAACTATATAATTGGCATATTGAAACCTATGAGCTACCATTGTGGGGGGAAAGTCAGGATGTTCAGATAGGTGGCCAGAGTTTATATAAAAATTAAATAATAGTGGTGCCAACATACAAACCTACTTATCTTCCCACACCAAGGTAATTGCTTTAATTAGGTGGTCTTGTGATGTAAATTAGATTTTTAGGTAGGGATTTCATGAAGCTTAAACAGCAATAATAATATATGTCTGTCAATAATGGAATTGATGAGTTTATCTGACATCTTAGGTCTGGATATTGAGTAGAAAGCAAACATAAAATCAACAGAAGCTGCATACAGTATAGGGCAAATGCTGCTTTAGCCATACACTTTTCTTCCAGGTACTGTAAAATAAAGGCAAGATCAAGGGAAGAGTGATTAGCTCTAAAGCCAGCCTACTCCTCTGCAAGGATTTGTTCTACTTCCAGCCAATCTAATATTTTTGTATTTAAATGTTTGGCATAAATTTTGCTAATAATGCTTAGTAGACTTTTAGGGTGATAACTGGTAAGACCCTTTCCCCCTTTTTATAAAAGGGACTATTATTGTTATACCCCAGTCTTTTGGAACCATTGTAGAGCAATCAGTGAAACCAAAGGGGGAGACTAAAACCAGGATCCACCATTCTAAATTGTTACAGATAATTTTTGCTGTTAAGAAATCACTACCTTGTGCATCCTTTGGTTTAAGTTGGTTAACCCACTTTTTAATTTCATAGCACATTAACTGGCAGCCAGTGAGGACGTAAATCAGTATTCATATCTTGATGTATCTATACATCTCAGAATCACAGTCACATAACTGTAGATTTGGAAGGGACTGCAAGGATCATCTAGACCAACTCTCCTCAATGTGCAGGAAAACCAACTAAATCATCTATGAGAAATGGCTGTTCAGCCTCTAGTTAAAAAACCTCAGAGGTAGGGAAACCACAGTCTCCATAGGTAGATTATTCCACTACTGTACATATCTTAATCTATATACCATAATGGTACATATCATTATGAAAAAGAAAACCAGAGTCCATAATGTTACCCACTGTTGCGGACTGTTCTTCCCTAACAAGGTAGGGAAGAATTGGGGGCACTGACTTTTTCCTATGGCCACATATCAAAGAAATGGTCAGCTTGAATTCAGAGCATGCCTGGAATTTACAATGGGATAAAGCATAACAAAGAATCAACTGTTGTTTGCTAAGTACAACAACTCAACTTGTAAAAAATACTGAAATAGCCTTTGGTTCTGTAGATTACAAAGGTAATATTGAAATCTAAGAATCTTACAAAATCTGCTCTGAATTTTTAATTCTATACTATTAGCCCAATCTTATACAAAAATTGAGCAACAAACTTTATTTTCAATAACCATAGCACCCAGACTTGATTGAATTGAGTATTAAATTATGATCATCCACTATCATAACTATATTAAATATAATTACCTTTTTCAATGCATTGTTCAAAATCAACTGGATCTTTAGATATACTTTTTTCAATCTGTAATCTCTGCACTAAAGACAATATTTTTAAAAAATCATATTGGTTGCATTGTAAGAATACTAGTTCCACTTTAATATTTCAAAATTGTTAATAAAATAATTCTTAGCTTTAGCACAAGTGCACTTGTAAGACTAATTTCATTTTTACAATTCACAAAAGGAAATGATCAAATGCAGAACTGTTAAAGTACAACAGAAAGCTAGGCTATGTCAAATGTGAGAAGCATTTGTGGTCTGTGATCAATATGTTCTCTGTGTACAAAAAATAATTTGTTATGGACACCTTTTGGGGATAGAGGATTGAAATACACAATGGGCAGGACAATGATATAAAACATTTGGGACCATGATAATTTGGGTTTTGGGTTTCTCTGTATTCATCCTATTTTAGGGCATACAGCAATTTTAGGCATTTTTTTGTCCCAAAACAATGGGAAACCAGGTCACAATTTTCAGTAACATGCAATCGAAGGGGTTCTAGGGATCACACACGCAAAAGAAAATCACATACATTTCCTATCTCCCACATAGCTGCTTAGATCTACAGAACCATGAACACCACAAATTATAGTCTCCTTCTAATGACTGATCAGTATTAAAAGTGCTGACAAAACCCATAATCTGTTGAAAGAGTGTACTTGAGCTTAAAAGAGGTGGTGTGAATGCAACAGAAAAATAAATTACCTTGGGAAAAAACACAAGCAAGCGTACCCACAAAGAATTATAAAATATTATAAAAAAGAATTGCCTCCACAACTCATATTAATAATTACAAATACTTTCTTATGAATATAGTATGTAAAAAATATTATGAGCCATGGCCTAATTCTTCTAAAGTAGAAATGTCTATACAGTATTCCAAAGTAGTACTATAAAGGCATGACTATTTTTTCACGATATGAGGTATACACTATATGAAGTATTATGTACTTCACTACATGAAGTATTATGGAATATTAAATTAAGAATGGTATATAAAATTGCAGTAATGACATATAATTTGAAAACATAAACAAACATAAATATTATAACTCACCTAAATAACACTGAATTTTGAGTTTGCTAATAGTCACACATTTATGAAAAGAAATAATAAATTCCTGAGGAAACATCCCAGTTGTTGTCCAAAAAGTTTCAGATCGCCTATTAGGAGAGAATAAAATACAATTATAAATCATACTGTGTGAAACTGGCCAAATGCGGTTTCAACATAGTTAAACAAACCACGGCTTAACATAATGTGTGAACCTACCCATATTTTTTAGCCTAGCCTACCTTGAAAGGCTGCTGTGAGAATAATAACATGAGAAATAGAAAAACATACTTTCCCTTGAACTCTCTGGGGAAAAGGGAGGGTATAAGTATAATACAACAAATAAACAGATTTCTAAAATCTTGAATTCTTTCACTATACTTAAGTTTCAGCCATTTCTGAAACCACATAAAGGAGATTTACTTCCTAAAGCAGTTTTTTTCAACCTTGGCAACTTTAACATGACTTTAAAATCCATAATCTAAAGCAATGTTTCTTCACCTTGGCAACTTTAAGATGAGTGGACTTCAACTCCCAGAATTCCCCAGCCAGCATGAGTTGAAGTCCACTCATCTTAAAGTTGCCAAGGTGGAGAAACACTGTCCTAAGGAATCAGTCAATCCTTTCAATACTCAAAACGACCCCGAAGACTCAAGGCTCACCCGTCAATTATGTTTTCCGGAGGGTGTATTTCATCACTGGATGTTGCTAAAATAACACCAGCTCCCTCCGAGCTGAGGCAGTAGTCTGTAAACTTCATTGCGGCTCAAGCTTCGCTAACTGTCGGCACAAAGCGTCTCTTCTCCCTCTCACTGTGCGAGCGGCTCAGTTGCCTAGCAGCACCTAACGTGAAAGCCCGGAAGTGGCGTCACCATCAGGCTCCGCCTCCCTCTTTCCAGGAGGACTTCCGCTTAAACGCCGTTGTTTCCTCTGGAACGAAGAGAACGGCTCTCTGTGGCAGATGTCTTTTCCTACCTTGGAGGAAGTACTGTAGGAGCAAAGAGTAGAGCTGGCGTTTGCTCCTCTTTCCCAAACGGGATGTTTCTTTGCATAGGGATTTGTGACATTTTTGAATGTGTAAATATCTAATAAATAAATGCTGCAAATATAAATACGATCCATGGTTATTTGGAGTGAAATTAACCACGTAATTCTATAGGTGCCTAGTTATTGGTAAGCTTCACTGAGTTCAGTTACCAAAGGAGACAATCTGGTGGAGCAAAAATAACGGCATTAAACAGTGACTGTATAGTTGCCTACGTTTTCATGAACGCCAATTCAGTGAGTTGCAAGGTTGGAATCCCATGATTGAGTTTCTAAACAGGAAAATAAAATGTGGAACCTACAGTGATAATTACTTGAATAATAGAGACTTTTCTCAAAGCCGGTATTCAATGATCTTACAGTACTGTACTTCCAGCTGAGTGAATGCATTCAGGATAAGAACAATGGTTGTACCTATTGTCCACTGAAATCATCCCTCTAAAAGTTAACAGCCAATTAATTATGAACTATAATACGCAGGTTGGAAAGTGACATAATCCTATTCTGCAGTTTTGTTCGAAGGTGTCGGAACGAGTACTGCAGACTTTCCCAACTGAGCGGCCTTGAATTGAATTGAGGCTACAACTCCCACGCTGAAAAAGAATTTTGGAGCAGGTTGCAGCAAAGCATGTCCACTGCTCTTTGTACAACAATGGGATTTGTGTAATGATGCTTTAAAATGTTGTAACAAAACTACTCATCCCTTGGCAGTTCGGGGTTTACGACTCACCTCGCCACCCAAAGCAACATGTTCAGCCAAAGCGACTTTATGTCGAATTCATCTTGATTTTTCACTCATTTTCATGTATACTTCTTCAGTTGCTGGAGTGTTCCATAGATCTATTAGATCCATTGACTCTAGTGAGTGTTCCGTTTCTGGGAAAGCCAAATAGCATTGCCTTTTAACAGTATAAATCCGTGTTTTTTAAACTTGTCAACTTTAAGTCGTGTAAAGTCCACACATATTAAAGTTGCCACGTCTGAAAAACGCTGGTATAAATTATTCAAACCAAGATGCAGCATTCACAGCTATGGATGGACTCGTACTAGGGACTATAGTGTCCTAAAATCTGGTTAGATAATTTGTGGCTCAGGGCATTGTATGAAATCAGCCAGTGAAATCAGTGGATGTTTCAATTACTGTGTATGAACCCAAGCAGCTGTATTAATCAGGAAAGGGTAAATCAACGTGGTGCCCTTCGATGCCTTGGACTTCAACTCTCATAGTCCTTTAGCCGCGCGGGTTGAGAAATTACAAGAGCTCGTTCAGACACACAGAATGTCTCTCGGGAAAGCTGCTCTAACTTTTTATCTCTAGGGTCTCCGCCCAGGAACGCACGCGCATTGCCTTCTTCAGCCGCTAGTCTCGCGGTTTGAATGGGGTGCCGGTGAGTTCTTCCTTTAAATGTTTGCATTTTCTGGGGTGGTTTCGTGGAAGGTACCATATCTCGTTGGGAGGCGACAGAGGGGAGTTGGTTTCCCAATTGCACCCCTCAAGGTGGATTTGGGGAGGCTGCTGGTCATTTTAAATGCTCCCCTGCTGAAATCGAAACAAAACCTGGCTGTGTTGCATGTAAGTTGAGAGGAAGAATTTGCTAGTTAAGGGAGCAAATGAAGCCGACTACTCCTTTGCAGACACATAGAATAGGCTATGGGCATCTTCAGAAGTTCTTCCGGACAGTAGGTATATTCATGTTTTGTTTTGTTTTTTAGCTTCATGGATTGGATTAATCCTGTCCTTTAGACCAGTGTTTCTCAACTTGCTTCCTGGCTGGGGAACTCTGGGAATTGAAGTCCACACAATTTAAAGTTGCCGAGGTTGAGAAACACTGCTTTAGATTATGGGTTTTAAAGTCAGGAGAGTCGTTTTGAATTTTTTTTTTTTTTTTATCTCTCCTGCAAGGACATAAGTTTTGGGAAATCACTTCTACAGTTTCAGCTTAGGTATTTAATATTAAAATATTTATATATTAAAAATAATCAATATGAGTGAAAAAAGGAATAAAGCAAGGTTTTAAAAGTGCATATTCTTTATATATACACATATACATACAGTTAATACCAGCAGCATTTGATTTTTTTTATCTTCAATGGAAGGTCATTCTGTCTCATTTTCAACTATTAGAATTGCCCATTTTTAAAATTAGAAATGTAAACTCAATCTTTGACTTGTAGAAGATGTTTTCCAAAATTTATTCCACTTCCTAAGTTTAATACTTTTCCTTGTTCATTTTGTCTCTGCCTTCCAGAAATCTGAAAGAGGAATGTCATGCTATCTTGGTGCAGAAAATGTTCCAGATAGAGGGTCTGTATATGTTCGGGAGAATGGTCAGCTCTTTACTATAAATCAAGATTCAGGAAGAGGAATCAACTGTACTCCAAATTCAAGGCCTTCAAGATTGTTCTCCAAAGAATTCTCTGTTGAACTTTGTGTCAATAAGGAAAATGACAATGGAAGGACAGATCACTTTATCTTTACTTACACAAAGGAGGGGAGTCTTCGTTATTCTGCTAAATCTCTCTTCAGCCTAGTCCTGAGTTATATTGCAGACAATATTAATCATGTTGATTCATTGAATGGCTTTCCAGAACAGATAGCAGAAAAACTTTTCTATGCTGCAGATGCTAGGCAGAAATTCACAGAATCAGAAACAGGGCTCTGTGCTTTGCAGACATTCGCTAATGCTTATGGATGCTTAGTGCTTCAGACACTGTGCTTGAGAAATGGGTAAGCACATACAATTTGTTAATCATCATATGTTTGAATGCTAAGAGAACTTACAAGCAAAAACTTTTTTTTTATTCTGCCTTTATTATTTTTATAAATAACTCAAAGCAGCAAACATACCTAATGCTCCTTCCTCCTCCTATTTTCCCCACAACAACCCTGTGAGGTGAGTTGGGCTGAGAGAAAATGAAAGGCCCAAAGTCACCCAGCCGGCTTTCATGCCTAAGGTGGGATTTGAATTCATAGTCTCCTGCTTTCTAGCCTGGTGCCTTAACCACTAGACCAAACTGGCTCTTGTATATTAATTTTCAAGAAAGTGTAAAATTGAAATGCTCTGTGTGAAGTTAAACAAGCCAATGCAAATAGGATAGGTTGAACAGCTTATTTTTATTGTTTGAGCTGTTACATAACTCTTGAAACTGAAGTATTATCACTTCATTTGCAGTTGAAGGACATTAATTAAATCTGAGATTTAGTTTTACTGTTTTGATATTTATAATCATTTTGGTTTATCAGTATAGGTTTTTTATTTTGCTATTGTGGCAGTTTTGTAAGAGAAATTTGTAATAATTTTAATCTATGGTAACCTTCTTCAACTTAATACCCCACAAATGTGCTAGACTTTATGCTTATTGAGAATCATGGGAGATGAGGTACTCCTTCTTTCCTAGCATTTTTCCCGCAGGTGCAGGCTCTGCTTTTTTTTTTTTCTTCAGATCAACCAAATGTTGATCTATTGGCTGCAACAGGAGTTGACCGACTGGCTTGTTGCCCAAGCCTGACGTCAGGGGTGCTGAGAAAGTGACTGGCTCAAAGTCACCCAGCTGGTTTTCATGCCTAAGGTGGGACTAGAACTCACAGTCTCCTGCTTTCTAGCCTGGGGCCTTCACCACTAGGCCAAATTGGCTTTCCAGTTGAAGTGTTCCCCTCCCACCTAAATACCCTGTTGGGGAAGCATGTTCTATAGTATTAGATTTTAAAAGTACATTAATACCCCTTGCAACCTTCTTAAGCACAGTTACCTAAAGATAAACTCTATTGAAATTTAAAGAAAATGAATTAAGGCTTACTCCTTGCACCTTTGCACATAGCTGTATTTTGATCCCAGCTGTATCTGCATCAGATCTGGCTTTTGTTGAGATGCTTTCTAAATTTTAAATGAAATAAATTGTAGTTTTATTGTAGTTGTGCTTTAGACAATGAGCATTTTCTTTGCTTTAGCAGAACATGCACAAGTAGGGGGTTAGGCCAGATTACCTCTGAGATCCTTTCTGCTTGTACTGTATGATCTTACTAGGACATTTCTGTATGCCTTCTTTTCACTACTGTATTGATGTGGAACAGAGCATAATTAGAAGTAGCTTAGACCTGGGCATTAACAAGATCTGTGGTTGCTTTTTCAAAATACATGAGAACCAAAGTACTTCCAAAACAAGTCTGTTCTCTTTTAATATGTTGTTTGTTTGTAAAGTTGATTAGTAGCATTAAATTATCAGCAATAGAAGCCAATGCTCTAAGTTGTAGGAGCTTACATTTTGTTTTTATTCTTTACAGTTCTCTAATTATCTCTGAAAAACTTGAAGAAATTAAATCTTTCCAAGGTCTGACGTGTTTGGATTTGTCCTCTTGTAAACTTGGGGATGACCATGAGCTGCTAGAGCATATCACCAATGAAACAATGTCTAGGTAATAATTTAATGACTGTCTCTTTGCTTTGCTTTGTTTATTGCTCAAAGGACTGTGGCAACTGAAATCAGTCCCTGTTTTAAGTACAAGAAGCCTGAGATACATTTATCTGTTACATATCTTACAGATGGAATAAATGATTACAGATTACATTGTTGTTGCAAAATTCTTATTCTAATGTGTTGTATGTGCTGGCTGAAAGTACGTGCTACGTGCCACTATTTATTTATTTGTTTGTTAGATTTATATTCCAGCTTCCATTCAGGAACTCAAAGTGGCATACGTAGCCCTCCTTCCTCCCCATTTTCTCCCAAAGCAACAACCCTGTGAAGTAGGTTGGGCAAAGAGAGAGCCACTGGCCCAAACTGAGCTTCTGAGGCTTGGGGTAGAGTTGACTCTGTGACATCCCAAACCTTAACCATCATATCATCCTGGCTCTCTATATATGGGTAGCTATAAATAAATGCTTTCTTCCTTCACAAGGATGTGCTTCATGGCAGAAAAATGGTAGAAGGAAGTACTTAATTTTTTATGTTTTTTTTTTCTAAACCCATTCCTGTACGTGTAGAATTGAAATATATATCCCATATCCCATTCATCTCTTAGCCCAGTTTAATCTTAGATTGTAAGAATATATAGAATGGGTTCACATATCATGCTGAGCTATAATGAAGCCTGTCTGATTTATGATTTGGGGTGTTGTATGCATTCAGCAGACTGCAAGTTACAGTATTCCAAATATCAAATTAACCAGACCATGATTTTGTTCAGTATCTAAATCCAGCCTATAGATCAAACAAGCACTTTGCGTGGCTGCTTTGATTGCTGCTTCTGTAGACATGTTCACCAGCTTCTTCACTGGTGGTCAGGATGGAAGTGTTTTCTGGGCATGCACATATGTGTGTACAGCATGTGGACTGAGAACAGCTTTTGAAGCAGTTATGAGTCTTAAAGGATGTGACTGCTTAAACGTTTCAAAGAAAGAAAGGTACTTCTTTCATGCTAATACATGTTGTGGAACATCTCTTTTGAATGCTTTTTACAGCCCTGTTTAAATAAATCATAAATCCAAATTAATAGTGTCATAACCGTTCATTTAATTCTAGGATCTTTGATGTTTGTTCAGATTTGCACTTCAAGACATATACAACAAATTGGGTTAGATTTGTAAATTAATTAGGTTTATTAATTATGTACACCTTTGAGGCAAGTAAACTTTAAGGTGCTAAAACATGTTTTCTGGATGTAAATTTTCTTTCTGAGTATTATTAATTATTAATACAGAATTATTAAATCTGACTACATAAAGTCTTCAGGCTGCTCTTAAAATGGGAGAGAAAATCTGAAACACGTAATAATTGATATTTTTCAGGAAATACTCTCTTAACAATTAAACAGTATTCCAGATATTTTTGTAAAAACTGCTATTTTTACATTTTACTTCAGTCTAACTCATCTTCTCCTGAAAGATAACTGCTTATCGGATATTGGGCTTCGCAAAATGACAGCACGAGTTCGAGTGATGAAAAGAGGCCTTGAAAATCTCTCAGTATTAGATTTGTCTTGTAAGTATAAATTAAGATTAGAGAGCAGGTATGTGCTTGCTAACCTAACATTAATCAATATCTTAAAAAAGTAAAATTTTTCAAATGTGACAACCAGAAATGGATATAGTATTTCCAATAAGTATGTACCATAGATTTGTGTAAGGGCATTATAATATAGGCAGTTTTATTTCCAGTCCTTTTCCTAATGAACATTAGAATGGATTTTCTCTTTCTTTATAGGCTGCCACCCTAAGATTTTTTTCTTGGCTAGATATAGACAGCACAGATTTTTCCATACCTCTGGTTTCCTCTACAGGCATACCTGGTGACATTCTCAACTCCAAAAAGTTGGAGAGGCAGGTTTTACTTTTGCAGAATCTGTTTTTCCTTCACCAAAGCTTGTTCATCAATCTAATAATTAGATTTATATTCTGTGCTTCCTAGTTATTTTTTGTTTCATTACCATTTCTCCCAATTTACCTGGACAACATTAAGGTAACTAGCCCATAATTTCCCCTGGTTCCTTTTTAAAATTGGCTACCTTCCAGTCCTCTTTAACTGAGCCTTGTTACAGGGACAAGTTACTTATTTTTGCTATGAGGTCAGCAATTTCATGTTTCATGTTTGAGGTGGATGGCGTCAGGACGTGGTGATTTGTTACTCAATAGACTATTCAAATGCTTTGAAGTGTTTTTTTCATTATCTTAGTTTGCTTTAGTTGTTCCAGTTCTCTCTCAGATAAAGCTTGAGATAGTGTTGCTTGGAAACAGTTGCTTTCAGAATAGGAATCGCTGATGGTTTTCAATATTTATATTAACTGTTGAGGGACATCATCAGGTAATCTGAAGTTGGATGTTGTCTGTATGCTGCTGACTTAAAAATTGATTTCCTTGTAACATTTTCAAGTAATTGGCATAGCTCATTTGAATGCAAGTAATGGATTGATTGAGGGCTAACCTGGTGTTGGGCCATAATAAAATACCTATCTGTGGATGAGAGGTAATAAATTGAAACTGAATGTAGACAAGACAGATTTCCCTGTACTGAATAAAGTGACACTCTTCCAAAAGAAGCAGAAGCACGGTGTAGGGTATTTCTGGATCTACATTTTTCTCAGACCCCTTTTCTGTGCATTCTCCTAGCCATTAACTTTAAAATACTGGTAACCTCCAAGCTTGACAAATGTAACACACCCTACATGGGAATGCCTTTGTATCTAGTTCATAAATTTCAGCATGGCATATGGGTTGGTCAGAGAGATTCCATTATACATACGTTAAAAACATTATATTGGCTGCCAATTTGTTGCCAGGCAAAATGCAAAGGACTGGTAATCAACTTTATAGCCTCATATGGTTGTGTCCAACCTATGTGAGAGTATATCTCTCTCTATTTGATCCTCTCAGTTAAGGAGGTTTGCTTACAGTTTCCCCAGAGTTGTCTTGTAATGACTTTTCCAAAGCTGTCCCACTTCTTTAAAATGCACTCACTGCCAAATTCATGCTCTGTTGTTTCTGTCTGTTTTAAGAAAAATGAAGACACAATTTAAATAGAGTTTTAAGTGTAGATTTTTCTTATCTTTAGTTTTAATTTTGGCTTTATGTTCTGTTGTAAACTGCTGAGAGACTTCAGTGTTCAAGTTTAATAAATAAAAGATTTGTTATTAATTTAATTAAATTAAATTTAATTTATTAAACTTGTATACCCCCCCAACTCTCATAAGCAGAAGCAACATTGAAGCTCCTAGTTTGAATATGGTAAACCTGTTTGCTCAAACTGGCACAAAATCCTGGTTTGTTGGAGTTCTATGAAATAGAAAACTTTGATCAAAATCTTCTGATGGAAAATATCTAATCTTCATTCATACAGTGGGAAGGAAAAAGTACAAATGTCTGTCCTGAAACTTGATATTTCTTTGTTTTTTATTGGGCTTACATCCCACTCCAATTCAGTGGGACTCTGAGTGGTTTATATTCCTTTCTTACAATAAGAATATTAAAACAATAAGACTGTATAACAAAATAATGATTTCAATAGCAAAAACAGTAATTACATAAAGATTAAAGCTACCCAAGAACAATAACATCCAGATCCTCTTCAAAGGCTTTCTAAAAAAAAAGCTAGGTTTTATGGCTTTCCTAAAATATAACAAAATGAAGGCTAGTCTGACAACAGGGGAGTCAGACTGCAAAGAAGAGGGGCTGCAGTCAAAAAGATGCCATTCCATGAGCCTTGAACATGACAGTGCCTAAAAGAAGGGATCTAGAGGGCACCCGCCCTACTCAATCTTGTTGTTCCTCATAGTTGCATGACAATCCATGGTTTGTTATTATGTCTGAATGCAAAGTTTAACAATGAGTTTCCAGACTCATTAACAGTTTTTTTTATATATGGTAGTATGCAACTGTATGTTAATATAACCATACCAAGTTGTTAAGTATAGCCCCTTTTAGCAAGGAAATGAAGCTTTCTGAATCCCTTTCAATTAAGTAACACTAATAGCTTAATTGATTCACTGCTTAGCATTTCTACTAAGTGTCAAGTTAAGAAACATGTAAGTAACTTTGGCTTATTTTATCTCTTCTATGCCCGTTTGGTGTACATTACAGCTTTAAATTTAATGCAGTATTATTTTTATATAGATAATCCAGGAATCACAAATAAAGGAGTTAGGTATCTGCGTCCTTTCAAGAAGTTGAACTATTTGGATCTCTCTGGGACTGGCCTCAGGGTAAAAAGAAATATTTACTTTGTTTAACATCATGACTTAGGCACATGTATGCACACACACACACACATTCTTATATATAAAAAAATCAACATTTCTGTCTTTTCATAAGACTTGTCATTGACTTTGCTCTTTTATAGAATGGCTGAATTCACATAGCAGTCTTAAGCCATGATTTGTTTTAAACATTGCCAGGAAACATGCTAATAGGATCTGGCAGAGTGGGTATGCTTTGAGTCCCTTCTGTAAAACAGTGTCATCTGTTGGGGCTTTCTCCGTCATGGCATGTGCCCTCTGAAATGGTATTCCTTTGAAGATCCATGTGGCTCCCACCCTATTATATTCCTTAAGCTGGTGAAAACCTGGCTATTGTTCCAGGCCTTGGGACAGAGTAGTGTGTGAGCCCCTGTAAGATTTTGCTTGCTATGATTTTGCTTTGTTTTATTGAGTCTTTCTAGATACATATCATTTGTTTTTCTTCTCTTCTTCTGTCTTTTTTTAATTATATAAAGCACCCAGAATCATCTGGAGCCAGATGTTTTTTGAATCAGTATAAATAAATAAATAAATAAAATCTGTGTGGTCAGCTTATTGCACTAAGCTATAAAGCATTGTTTACAAACAAAGCTGGATTTAAACAATTTGCTAAGTCAAACCATAGACATCACTTTATAGTATGAACACAGCCAATCTATTTTGATTTCTCTTTTTTGCTAGGACACAAAAGAAGTCATTGATCAGATCCAGACACTAATAGGCCTAGTCCGTTCAGCTATTCCTTTGAAAGTATTTGATCATAGCAACTGCAAAACGGAGGGATGGGCGGAGCAGGTACTTCCTAAATTACTGTATCAATATCCATTTCTTAATATAGCATATCTATTATAGTAAGATGAGTTTGTAAGGATTTTCTGAATGTTTTAAAATTTCAGGCACCAATGGAATAATGAATAAAGACATGTATTTTTTTTTAACATTTAAATATTTTGTTGGTAAAGTATAACAACTAGCAGATGTGATGAAGCACAACCAAAAATTAATAAAATCAGAAAAAGAATATACAAAATAGTAATTGAATGAGTGACATTTGAAGAAATTAAAGCAGTGTCCATAAACCATTAATATAAAACTTGCTCAGTCCTTTGACATATTATTAAATCTAGCCATATAAACCATCTATTGCTCCATCTTCTCTGTTTTAATACAATATATTATTTCAGTACAATGATATTTATATAATAGATTCTTAACATTCTGTTATTTACATGCCTTAAAGTAATGAATATAGATAAATGGATATTCTATCAATATTAATTACAGTTTTGGATAATAATGTTACGAGCATTATGATTATTTAACAACAAATGTATTCTTAAATGAAATAGTACTTTTGGTTTAAGGCTGTAAAAGGATTGTTGTTGTTGTTGTTCAGTCATTAAGTCGTGTCCGACTCTTCGTGATCCCTTGAACCATATTGCGCCAGGCCTGTCCTTCACCGTCTGCGGTGATCTTGGAGCCCAAATAAATGAAGTCTGTTACTGCTTCCATTTCTGCCCCTTCTATTTG